TGCAGAGGTACAGTCATTTAAGTCTGAATATGAAACAACATTCAGACACGCTAAATTTATAAGAAATATCAAGAAATACTTCTGTTTTATTCTAAATTGAGATTTGATATGGTTGGCAGTACAAAGCAAGAGAAACAGGTGATCACACATTTATGGTGGTAAATTATACATTTTGTGGCCCAAGTAAACCTGACTTTTTTATCACAAACTTTCCAAGATGCATTCCAGGCAGATATAAGGCAAAAACACAAAATAAGAAACTGTAAAATATGGAAGAAGGTATAAGAAATTCACTTTTTCATCTGCTAAGGATGGAAAAATCTTCAGATTTAAATTTGTAAAGGCACTAATGTTAAGGTGACTGTAAAAAAATACAAAAAGAGTAACAAGATTTCTGTTCAGCAAAGAATATTCCTCATTAAATTAACTTGCAGATTAAAAATTATAGAAAGTATTTTCATTTTCTACCAGTGATAAATAACTAGAAAAAAGCTTATTAAAAAACTAGCCTCAACACTCATATAAACATATAATATAAGCAAATAAATTACAGAAGTTCTTACACAGGAAAGGGGGAAAAAGGACATAAAAGACAGGAAAAGTAGAAATGAATATCAATTAAAATCAGTAAACTTCATCAAATTTGAAAAAAATGTGCTGTTTTGGGGGAAGAGAAATAAGAAATATTGCCCCCTGGTGGCAGTGTGTGTGGAGAGCGTGTATGAGATTTAAATTGCTATACACTCTGGGGACTAGCAAATGTGCTCCTGAGCATCAGTGATACTTTCTCTAATCTGTTTCTAGGGCAGCAAGAAAGAGAATGCTTCCGGCATATTTATATCACTGACAGAACTTGAAAAGTCTGCTTTTTCATAACTGTGGAAATTAAAAAGATGCATTATATTCACCTGTTTTCTGAAGCATGGACTCAAGCAGTGGCTGAAAAATCTGACTTAGCAAGCGTACTGGACACATAAGCTTCTGAACGATACGGCACTGTGAGAGAGAAAAAGACCCCACCAGCTACCATCTCACTATCTCTGTACCCCAAACCTAAGCTGAGTGACCCAAAATACTCCCAGCTGGTATTGTGCACTTTTTTTTCTGCTCTTTCTTTTTTTTTTTGAGACAGGGTCACCCTATGTAGCTCAGGCAGGCTATCCTGGAACTCATGGCAATCCTTTTGCTTCAGCCTCATGAGTGCTGGATTTATAGGTATGTCTCACCACACCCAATGCTTATCCTATTCTTCTTCCATCTCTACTGACTTTCTGGTTCTACCAGAACAAAATTTCAAAAAAATTTCCACTGTTTGATATGCTATGATGACACAAATTGGGGGTGCAGAGGCCAGACTAAGGAGTGAAGGAACTGAAGCTCTGTGCTTTATCTCAGCTGTGCCCTTCTGCAGAGGCCGTTCCCATGGGCTTCTCCAGGATGCCAACTTGAGAGAGTTGCTCACAAAGTGTGTGGAATTCAGGAGAACTCATCAGAATTTCAGCGTCTGTAGACTCCAGCCACATAAGGAACACAGAACAAATGCTTGTGGTCACCTCTTTCCACAGACAGATGTTAAGTCACTGAAAAGGAAAAAAGGTCCCAAGTCTGGGAGGTGATAGTTCTAGGCTGACATGAGTTCAGCCCATTAAGGCAAGAAAGAGGCAGTGGAAAAACAGAAAAGGGTAGAATAGAAAGTCATATACTTTCTCCAAGACTGAGGGAGTACGAATGGTTCCCACAATCAGCATAAAATAGAACTAGGAATGGAAGTGTTTTCTCTTCAGCATTGTACATGCTTCGTGTCTTGTGGTCCAACTGCTCAGCCCTGTGTCTGATCACTGACAATTTCTTTTTTTTTTTTTTTTTCGGTACCGGGGATCGAACTTGGGTCCTTGCGCTTGCGCAGCAGGCGGCGAAACCACTGAGCTAAATCCCTGGCCCAACAATTTCTATCTTAGTCTCTTTTCCTAATGGAACAAGGCAGACAGTATGACCAGAGTGGCGCACCTCTCTATAATACTAAAACAAGTAAGTAAACAATGAAAACACACCAAAATGAGAAAATAAAAATAACAGCATTGCTTTTTTTTAGTCAAAACACTACTCATAACTTATTTGAGTTCAGCTGCTTGGGAGAACCTGATTAATACAGCACTCAACACAGTGTACTACCCGTTAAGTTTCATATTCTACAGAGAAGCACTTTACAAAGAGTTGAAGGAATGAGTCTACATATTCTGTTTGAGTTAACAAGGGAAAATATCTTGATCAACCCACAGGCAGTTCAAAATATAATATACTGAAAATGCACTGAATATACACAATCTAGCAAACATTGCTAAGCTTTTCCTCATTAAAACTGATAAACACACTTATGTTGACTTGTATTTGAGAAAACTATGTAACACAGCTTATTTCATACTAAAATACGAAATATCTCATGTAATATATTGAATGTGCTGCACTGCAAATCATTGGATGTCTTCACTTGGTGTCCTATCTGTAACAGAGTAGGGACTTACAGCTGCTGCCCAGTATCTTGAGCAAGTATTGTAGCACAGACCACTAGTGTGCAAACAGCATAAAATTCAAAATCAAAGGAAATTTTCCACTGAATACTTATCACTTTTCCTTTATGCTTCAGTACTGGACTGAAATCAGAGCCTTACACATGTTACACAAGTTACTTTGGATTGGAGACACAGCCCCAGTGATTTTACTTTATGCCGATTTGGTCATGCTTCACTGTCCATCTTGAACTTGCTATTGCAATAATCCTGCCTCTGTGCTCCACCTGGCTGACATGCAAGGTGGGCAGCAGCATGCTGCACTGAAGTTTCATTTAAGCAAACACAGGTAATCCTGGTTAATAGTGATGATTAAGGAACCCCATATCTTAGCCAGGCATGTGGCACAGGCTTGTCATCACAGCACTCCAGGAGGTTGAAATAATATCAAAAGTTTGCTGCAGCCTGGGCAACGTAGTGAGACCTGCTCTCAAAATTTTAAAAACATTAAAAGGTATGGAGGATGTAGTTCAGAGAAAAAGTCCTGAGTTCAATCTTCTCTGTACAATAAAAACATCAAGTACATTAAAATCTGTTTTATCCTGGAGAAATCCCTTTCCATCACACATAGACGATGATAACCACCAATTTTTAGGCCAGACAAGGTCAGACAGTTTCCTAATTTCCACTTTTTCGCCTCAAAAACAATTAGGGCTAAGTGTGCTGGCAGACACCTCTAGTCTCAGTACTCAGAGTTAGGAAGATTACTACAAGTTGGAGGCAAACTTGGTCCACATAGTAAGTTCAAGGCCAGCCTGAACTACATAAAATCATCCTGTTTCAAACAACAACAACAACAACAATAACAACAACAAAAGTTGATCAGGTTACCTGATCAGTAGTAACAGAAGATATATTTATCTAAATTCTACTTAGTCTTCTCCTTCCTTAAAGCCTGTGATATTGGACTCTTCTCAGACTGCTGCAGCACACAATTCTTTAATGTCACACTAACAATCTGACCTCAGGGAAAGACCCTCTCTGTTGGAGGTGTGGATTTTACCATTATCACCATCACCTCCTCTCCCACTTTCTTTCCCCTCCCATTGGCTCCTCCCTGCACAGAAAACTCCTTTACCACTAACCACTCATATGGCTGCAGAGCTCACATTTCAGGCTTTACCCCTACTACAATATTTCTTTAATATAAAGTCCACCTCCATCAGCATTCCAATTCTTTTGTTTTTGTTTTGTTTTTGGTACCGGGGATCGAACTCAGGACCTTGTACTTGCGAGGCGGCGGCAACACTGAGCTAAATCCCCGGCCCAGCACTCCAATTCTTTTTTTTTTTTTGGTACCGGGGATCGATCTCGGGTCCTTGTGCTTGCGCAGCAGGCGGCGAAACCACTGAACTAAATCCCCGGCCCTCCAATTCTTAAAAGTGTCTATAGTCCAAGGACTACAGCAATTATTTGAGGTGCCACTATCAAATCCTATCAAATCACATGTCCATGTAGATGCCCGAGTTTAATGACTCTCACACTGTGTGTGTAACAGGCAGTTCCTTCTGGAAGTAGACTTTAGCAGGAACACTTTCTCCTGTGCTTGCTCACACATTAACATCCCCTCCATTTCTCTCAGCATTCTAAACTCTATGGGAAGGCCTCACTTAAGTAGGCTCTGTTAGTAGAGGTGCCACCCAACTCATTAAGATGACAATTGTTTTTGCATTGCTGTGTATATAACACAGGAGTTCACTACATGCTTGGCAACGGCGCCATCACCGACTCACATCACCAGCCATGTTAAACCTCTCTTTCTGTCTTGTCTTGTTGTTTGACTCAGGGTCAGACTATGTAATTCTCACTAGATAGCCCAGGATGGCCTCCAACTCAGAGCGAACTTCCTGCCTCAGCCTCTTAAGTTCTGGAAATACAGATGTGCACCACCATGCCTGGCGATCCTTTCTTTCAATTCTCATGGCACTAATCATCACTTCTCCTAAATTTGGCAATTGGAACTTTGTCAATTTACTCTCATCACAGGGTAGCACTGGCCTAAGGAACTAACGTGTGGCTCTGAGACACTGTATCGTGGACATTTATAAAACTGAGGTCCTGCAGGTCAGCCGGAGGGACGAATGAGACCAGGGAACCAGCACAGCACAGGTCCCCCAGGCTAACTCCCCACGGGAAGCAGGGTCTCCCCACAATTCCCACTCTCTGCGCACAGGTGGAGACGCAGCCGCGGCTGCCCGGAACTGCACTCCAGGCTGGCGGGGGTGGCTGTGGGGAGACAGGGCGCTGGGCACACAGGGTAGACCTGCCTGAGGCAGGGCGGGAGGGGGAGAGTGTCCTCTGCGCGGAGACCAGGAGGAGGTCTGATCTGAGCAGCGAAGAGGCGCCGGCGCCATTGCTATTCCCAACGCTTCCGCCCAGGCCTCGCCCCCTCCCGTCCCGTCCTGAGTCAGGGCACTCGTCCCACAAACTCACCATTGTCGCTGGAGGGTCTCCCCGGGTGCTTCCCGCAGTCTGCAGCCAGTAGAAATCCTAAAGCAGGACGGCCTAGCCAGCTGGGGCGACTCTCAGCGCTGTACCAGGAAACTGGGCTTTGAAGCCAGGAAATAGAACCCGCCCCCTCAGGTCATCTGATTGGACAGTTCATACAGCCTGTTCCTCAACACTGATTGGCTCCTGCTCCATTGCCCGCCCTCTCAGCTGAGAGTGACTGCAGAAAGGAATCCTTAACCCGTGTGCTTGGAGCTCAAGTGAGAGATTATGATCCAGACACTGCTTGATCTGTTTGTCTCCCCGGATGCTAACCTGTCCTAGCCTGCATTTAAGAAGAGGGTACTCTCATCTTCTATTTTTTTCCTATGTAATTAAGTCCGCTCTTGAACTTACTATTTACTTCAGATTGGTCTTGAGCTCTCTGTGATCCTCCTGCTTCACATTAATGCACCACCATGCCTGGCTACTCCAGTCTTCTTACTGGAGTCAGTGGGATCTTCCTGTGTGTTGCTCTTCCAAGTGGGGTATTAGTTGGCTAAGCCAGTTCCAGAGTTAATTCAACATGGGGAAAGCACTGTGAGAGAGCGTCACGAGTCCAGGCAAGGCCAGGTCACAACAGAAGAGAGGGCGGCCCTGCTGTTTTGAGAGGTGAGAAATTAAGAATAAGGTTGTTGGCTTCATGGACAAGACGTTCTCATACTGTATCTCTTGATTTACTCATTCTAAGCCAAGAATATACGTGCTAAAGAAAGGCAAATGAGTGCTAAATAAACTCACTTTCTGGTGTTGAGGCAGGGAAAGCTCCCTGCGCCTTGTAGTTCCTTCCTCAAAAGTTGCAACTCTCTGTCTTTCAACACATTCATATTTCTAGAAGGAAAATATTACCCGGAGTCATGTGACACTCTTGATTAATATCTTGTTTGGCATGAGAGGTGTGTGGGGTATTAGTAAAGCACACTGCTGGTGTGTCTGGATGAGGCGTGGAGGTGTGACATTAGGGACCTTATCTTCTCCCTCTCCCTTCCTGTCTTGCACCTGGTCTGCTCTGTGCTTCCTGGTTCTCATGTAGCAGTTATCTTTCTTCATTTCCTTCCACTATGATATTTCTCCGTTGGGGTCAAATAACAACCAGCTTCAGTCTCTGAAACCATGAGCTAAAATAATCCTTTTATTTTTAAGTCCTGAATGTCAGGAATTTTATGCAAAACAAAACAAAAACAAAAGAATAATAAAATTAACAGTTGGTGTCTGAACAAAATAAACTGACAAATGCATCAACCCTTTCTTTAGAAGTCTATATAAATGAGTTATCTCTATGAATGCTCTTCGTAGCTTTTCTTCACAAGAACATATTTCAAATGTGACTTCAGCAACTCTTTGCATAGCAAAACCACTTCCCAGGGAAAACACCAACGTAACCAGTAAGCACCCAATACAACCAGTAACCCCCAATACAATTGACACGTGTGCTTTTCATTGCTGTTCTGAGCAGTTGGAGGCAACACGCCAAAAGATCTGTAGCCCAGAAGGACCCATGAGGACTGTCATGATCCTCTTTGGGCTCAGTGTACTTCTCATTTTGAAGTCACTGGACTTAAGGCTGTGCTGCCATCTATAGTTTATTCGTCTGCTTTACACCAGTATTGACCAGTAGTGATGTACATATACTCAAATGATGACTGTGTATTTAAACCAAGAAGTCCTTGTCTTCTTTCTGTGCTTATTAATGAAGAAGAAAAAGACAATTCTAGGATCCTGTATGGATTTAAATGTTGAAGAATCATTCCTTATTTAAAAACATAGATGCCATGAAACTTATATCCATGTGACAAATGTATAGAAAACAGTTAATTGAATATGGATTGTCCACTTTTTCCCGTGTATTGTTGGTTCCTTAAATCATTCCATTTGGATATCTCATGAGATGCTCTGTGCCTAGGGATTTACATATTCTGTTTACCTTTCCAGAACACTACCTCTATCCTCTCGCTCACAGCAGTATAGGCCCATCTAACTATTTCTGTAGTCAAATCAAATCATTTATAAGTACTTCTCCCTTTCAAATAGTGTTGCTCCTTTAAAATTGAATCTTCTGGAGGCTCAACCATATTCCTCTATTTTAATTGTTCCTTTGAAATTGTGTTATGTTTATATTTTGGGTGAACTCTAAAAACAAATTTATTGTGGCTATTCTGCACAGCCTGTCACACCACAGGAACTATGAAAACATTCATAGACTATTATATCACTGGATCACAGTTTAGGAATTCTGATACGAGAAGTTCAAAGCTCCTTGAAAGGTCTAATATGAAACTTCTCTGCTTTGTATAATAGTAAGCTCACTGGTGGAAGTTATTAGCTTCTTTATGAAGAATAATCTGAAATTCAGAAAGACCAAATAATGTTTAAAATATAGAACTTGTAAAAATAATTTTCATTTTTAAATAACAAATGCAACAAATGGATAAGATCCATCCACTGGACCTGTGTAGAGGGAAAAGTGCTTGAGATTGAGTTCATAAAACCAAAAAACCTTATCAGCCATGTCAATATACCGTAAAATTATTTACTTAGGGGCGGGGATTTAGCTCAGTGGTTTCGCTGCCTGCTGCGCAAGCTCAAGGACTGGAGTTCGATTCCCGGTACCAAAAAAAAAAAAACATAAAATTATTTACTTATAATGAAAGCTCCCTTGTTCATTGTATGATATTTAGCATCACCTGTGGCCCAAAGTCACAACATGCCAGCAAAATCCACTTCCCCTCTAACTTGAGAAAAAAAAATCTCCGGACATATCCGCATATTGAAAGCCATTGACCTAACAGCTACGTTGGGCACCTGAACTACTAGGATAACAAGATACAGAATGGGAAATGAAGTCTAGGCTCCTACCAAACCAGGAGGATTTTTTCACTTCTCCACATCTACAACCCAAACCAGGCTGGATAAATTGTCCCCAAATTTTTGAACTCTGCCATTGAAGCTCAACTTTTTGTGGCTTATTCGATATGGTCTCCATACTCTAATGTGATTATATTATGCTGCTTGTCTGAAAGCAAGGTGTTCATCCATGAGTCTGCTCAGACAATGTCAATTGTGCCCCTTCTCTGTGTCCATGAAAAATAAACTGAGTAATATATCCTTACTTGAAGAGGCTATGTTTCAGTGTCTCCAATGTATGCTTCAAACTCAACAATGGATATTAATAACCATATAAACCACACAGATATTGTTTTATCATATACATAAAAAACTATGATAAAGCTTAATTAATAAATTTTGCACAGGTAAAGATTAACAACACTACCTAATACATATGCAATATCAAACAACATAGAATAATCAGTGTCATGTAAATGACAGTTAATGTGGAGTGTCACCTTGATTGGCTTTGAGATTTACCTGGGGAATTGGTTGTGTACACTTGTGGGTATGTTTGGATGAGACATGGAGGTATGACTTTGGTGTCTCTATCTGTTCACTTACCCCTTCCTCTCTGGCACTGTGTCCCTGCACTGCTTCTATGCCACCATAAATGAAAAAGCTTTGTTGTGCAACCTACTTCCTCCACGATGTTGCTGTCTTTGGGCCAGCCAACCAGGGAGTGAATCCCTCACAGTCATGAGCAGAGCTTCCCCTTCTTTAGTTGTGAATGTCAGGTCCTATGTCTCCACAATAAGAAAGCTCACTAATCACTTAGCCGGTAGAGTGAAGATTGATGTTTCTTTTCCTGGCGTGACATTGACATGGGTATTGTGAAGAAAGACACTTTAATTCTCAATATTTTCAAACTTATCAGACACCTGGAATCATGTTAGGAAGTACCCTTCATTTATTCACTCACCTTCTCCAGGAGTTATTGCTTTTCCAGTTTTGCAAGTCTACATGAAACACTGCCATGTATTTTACCCAAGTAGAGACACTCTAGGTGACCATCATAGAGCCCCCATCTGAGGAAATTAAAGAGTTTCACCTTGAACAGCCAATTCTTAGGTCAATTTCACTTTCACCATCTCTCTTGGCTGACATAAAAATTCTTTTTTTCTGATTGGATCCAGTTTTCATTTCTGGAACTCATGCTAGGACTCTTTCATTGCCACAACTTTGACAAATGTGAAGAACTCATCCATTTTTTTTGAATACATGCTTTTTGTTCTTTTGAGCATGTACCTAGAAATGAAAGTGTTGAGTGGTATAGTAAATCTATATTCAACTTTTTGAGGAAACGCCAAAGTACTTCAGAAAGAGGCTGCACCACGTGTAAGGTTTCCAGTTTCTCTTCATTCTTACAAATACTTACTACCTTAAATTACTGTGGTTATAGTTTGCAGTTCCTTAATGGCTGAGATGTTAAGCATGCTCATGTTTTAGTGTGGGAAATGTTGAGGTATTCATTTTGCATTCGGTCTGACTGGTATTTGTCTCAGTTTTCAGTTTGCAGTGTCAACACTCATGAGGTGATGGCCCACAGAACCATGGTCATTCAGTTAAGAGTCTCAATTTTTGGGGGGTACTGTACCCCTTGTTTATACAGTGTGGTCATTTTTGCTGATTGTACTGTACAATACAGTGCTGTGGTTTTATGATCTGTTATATATTACATACGGCAATGTTTTATCTTTCTTAAGAACAAACGCTTTTCAATAACCTTCAAAATAAAATACAGCAGCCACCAATAAATCATCACAATAGCTGGTTTTAGGCAATATTGACGATCCCTCATGTGTCAGAAGAGGCAGAGATGAAAATCATTCAGAAAATCCAAGAGATCTTATGGTATAGCAATGATATAAAAAGTGCTCATCAATAGTGTTTGCAAAACAAATGCAATCCAGGTACAATGTTTAGCAAATCAGTAAAGCATCTATTTCTATATTTCCTTACATACTCTTTCCTGGCATCTTAGCAGCTTCCATGAATTCTTCCAGGTTACATCAATCACACAGTGGATGTATCTGGAAGCTATTTTGAATGTGCAGTTTGGGCTCAATAATGAAGGAGGTTCTGCAGGTCATTGCAAGAGACCAGTGAAACTATAAAACTGCAAATGTCACAGAACCATGAATCTGCTTGACTCAGTAAAAATCATTGTAAATGGCAAGTGTCCTTGACAGTGAAACTAGCATT